GGCCCCCCGGTGCTGATGATGCCCCCGCCGCCCGCGGCCATGGGGCCCCCAGGAGCCCCTCCGGGCCGCGACCTGGCCTCCGTGCCCCCCGAACTGACCGCCAGCAGACAGTCCTTCCGCATGGCCATGGGAAACCCCAGTGAGTTCTTTGTGGATGTGATGTGAGCAGGGCCGTCTCCCCCTCTTCCATCCCACCCCTACCCGGCCAGCTGGTCCCTCTCCATCCGTCCGTCCGTGGTTTTTTTTTTTCTTTTTTTACTTTGTCTGGTACCTGAAAGGGAAATAAACGGAACTAAATCCAGGTGCGCTAACCCTGGCCGGAGCAGCAGGGCAGGTGCACCTGCAGGTTGGCTCCGCCCCCTGCCCCGCCTCTGGCCCCAGTTTGTTCCCTGCTCACTAACGCTGCGTGGGACCTCCCCGGATCCTTCATGTCCCCGACTGGACTTGCTGGTGCTACCCCTTATTCCCCTCGTCCCTCCCCTTCCAATTTAGGAGCTGACCCAGGGGTGTCCTTGGGGGCAAGCTTCCCCTCTCACCCCCCAGTTCCCGCTCAACGTTCATTCAGCTATCACCCCTATTAACCCCCCTCAGGCATGTGTGCACACCTCTTTACTTTGCCCCAGGAAACCAACACCAAAAACGTCTTTGCCTCATCTGCCCCCGGAACTGCCCTGCCTGCTGCCTCAGTCCTGATCCCAGAGCGTGGTCCTCTGCTGGTAGCCATCCCAGCTCTCCCTGCCTGTGCCCAGCCCTGAGCAGAGGACCCGAGAGCTGGCTGGGTCGCCTGAGCCCCTCGGGCTTCCAGGGAGCCCCTCTGCTCTACCCCATTCCTGCCTGTGTGCTGGCTCCCTCCAACCCTCACCCTACTAACCAGCAGCTCATTTCACCTCCAGGCCTGAAACGTTTCTTTTCTTTCTTTTTTTCCTCCCCCAATTAACCCTGGGCCTGGAGCAGCCAAGAATTTCGGGCTGTTTGACTTTCTGTGAGCCCCCAGAGAGGGGAGGCCCAACCTCCGAGGAGACCAGGAACCCTGCTTCTGCAGCCCGTCAGGGCTTCCCAAGGATGTCCAGCCCCTCACCCACACCAGTCACTAGGCTTCTGGGGAGGGCCCCAGCTTCACCCATGCAAGAGAGATTGTTTTCCTTCCCCCCCTTCTCTCTCTCTCTCTCTCTCTCTCTCTCACACACACACACACACACACACACACACACGTGCCTATGCAAGTTTGCTTGAGTCTCAGGGCTGGTCCCTGCCCAGAGGGCTGGACCCTCTCCCAACCCTTTCCCAGGTTTTGGGGCTGGTCCCCTGACTTCCCTCTTCCTTCCCTCTTAGCTCTCAAGCCTCCCACCCATTTCCCCATCTTCCTACCTAGATGTAGCCTGTGCGCTGGGTCTCAGGCTGGGCTCAGCAGAGGACTCTCCAGGTGACTGACAGGCCACTCACCCCCACACATACACACGCCCATCCTTGTTTTCACATTTACCGCAACTTCCAAGCAGGGACATGGGAGCCCACAGGCCAGTCGAGGTTGAGTAGGGAGACTTTTGGGACTTCTGGAGTACAAGATTTCCCTCTTTTTAATCTTACTGTCCACTCTAGACAAATCATGACTTCCTCTTTAAACCTCTTCTATAAATTCTGGCTCACCTAGGTTCTCATAGTTTCAGGACTAGGATGTCAAGAGTGAGATGAAATCCTTAGCTCCAGGATTTGGGGCAAACCAAGGTAGAGACATTTTGGCCTTCGTTCATTCAACAACTACTTCCTGGAGTTCGGGTGAGCAGAAGGCAGTGTCAGAAGGGTGACATAGTCTTGCTTGTTTTCTGGGAGCTCTGGGTTTGCTCCCAGTGCAGGCCATGACTTCTAGCCACACTGTAGAGCCATCTGTGCTCTCTCTGACTGCCATGTCCAGCTCCTGATAGTCCCCCCACTACTGGTCATGCTTCGGTGCTGGTGCTTCTGCTCCACTTCGCTTCCTCTATTTACTTCCAAGATGGTGTCATCCACCCTCATGTCCTCGATTGCTGCTGATAAGCTGGTGATTCCCAAATACCTAGTGGCAATTCTGGCTTCCCCTGATCTTTAGGTCTGCATTTTTATTACTAACTGCACATCTCCATAGATATATCCATGTGGACTGAACGCATGTCCCAGTCAAGTGTGTTCCTGAGTCCCGGCCACCTTCATCACAGTCTATTTAGGCTCACAGCTAGAAGCATTTATGGGCTTAAATTCCTTCTTCCCATATCTTACTAGTCAGCATATCATATCCACTCCACTCCAACAATCTTTCTTGAATGTGGCCCTTCCTTTTCCCTCTGTCTCTACTTTACTTCACTAGAGCATGGGATTTGGAGTCAGATGTTCTGGGTTTGAATTCTAGCTCTGCTACTTTTTGGTTATGTGGTAGGAGAGTTATTTAACCTCTCTGAGCCTCAGTTCCCTTGTATGTAAAATGATAATAATACCTACCTCACAGGGTTGTTGTGAGGATTGAAATTAGACATTGTACGAAAAGTGCCTAGCACAGTGCCTGGCACACGGTAGAGTAGGTGCTTAATAAATGGTAGCAATTATTTTTATTATCATTATCATCATTTCCTCTAAATTGGTAGGGATTTAGATGTATGTTTGGATGATAAAGCTTCTGCAAAGCTGAGAGTAAAGCTTTGAGTGTTGGTTCAAAGTGTAAAAGTGCCTACATATTTGGAAACTAAATGGCTTCAGGCTGTGGCAAGGCCTGAAGGGCTACCCAGACCTTCATCCTGCCATATCCTGGCTTCTGACAAGAGGCTACTAGGAGTAGTAAGGGCTGCAACCAGGTTTGGCCTCTCCTGCCCCTTTGTTCCTATGACAGGCCCAGGCCCATTGAGGAAGACAGTCGGGTATCTCTGCCTACAGAAAGAGAAGAGCCAGTGGATTTTCTTCTGATCCGGAAAGAAATAGATGGACCTTTGTTGTTTGAGGGTTGACTCTACCCTCTCAGCTAGGATGTGAAATTTAATTCTGTACATCAGAGGGGTTTTAAAAGGTCATGTCCAACTAAATTCAGCTTGGCAACCATTTTCTAAGCAACATTTATCCCTGACCGTAGAAGGCTCACGGAGTCATACAGGTATAGCTGGGGAAAATGTTGATATACTCATGAGTAGCTTTAGCTAGTTTTTTTCCCCAAGTATTTGCAGAACCTCCCTCCCTGCCTCTCTCCTTGGGTCTAGACCCCTGGGAAAAACTTAGGAGAATCCGAGGTGGTGTTAGAAAGCAGTCAATTCATTGGAAACACTTCTACGGCTAAGTTGAGTGTGTGAGTGAAGACAGTCCTCGGACTCCCGACGAAAAAGGCCTAAGGCAACCCAAGGCTTAACAGAGGGCTTCAGCAAACGGCAGTAGTCCTCCGCCAGTAGTCCTCCGCGGCTCCGGGAAACCTGCACTAGGAACAGGAGGGCTTGCAGAGACTACGATTCCCAGAGCCCTCGGTGACGTCGGCCAAGTGGGACGCGGCGTCCGCCGGGCGGTGTATTTTGGATAAGGCGGGCCAAGGCCACGCCTACCCCGAGGAGGGGGCGGTGCCTCGAAGGCAGTCGGTAGTTGTAGTTTCGCTAAACTTAGAAGGATTCCGCGGGAAGCGAGGAGGCCGAGGGGCCTGCCGGGACTTGTAGTCCGCGCGGAGGCGTGCGCGCACGCGCAGCTGAGGCCGGGGCGGGGCCGCAGCACTGCGGTGAAAGCCGAGGCAGCGGGCAGGCGAGCAGGGGTGGGCGGACATCTTGGGATCCGGAGAGTGGCCCGGCCGGCCGAGCAGGGGGCCGCGGACGCCAGGTGAGCTGGGGATCCGGCCTTACGGGGTGGGAGAAGACGCCACGGGTCGCCTGCCCCGCCACCCAGCCTTGCCTTTCTCTGCACCGCGCCGGGCGGAAAGCTGCCCACGCCCGGGAGTGGCCTCAGCCTTCGGACCCGGGAGGGCGCTGAGGCTGGGCGGGGGCGCCCGGGGCGCGGCGGCAGGACCGCGGGCAGCGGCGTCTCCACCTGACCCGCCGGGCGCCTCCCGGGAGAGGCAAGCCTCCTGGAATCCTCCCGGAGCAGGGCCGCCGCGCGGCGCCCCCTCCCCGGGATCGCGACAGCCTCCTGAGCCTCGGCACCTCCTCTTCGGCGCAAGGGCAGTCTCCCCATCTCGCGGGGCAGTGACGCCTCCTTGTGCGCCTCCTTGAACTGTGACAGGTCGCCCTCCGCGCGGCACCCCCTCTCTCTGTCACCCCGCGGCTCTCCCCCAGACCAGCGGCCCCCATCTTTTCCGCGATGCCCTCCTCTCCATGGCCGAGAGCCCACCGCCCCTCCTGCCCCTGCTGCCGGCTCACCCGTACCGCCTTCTCCCTCGAAGCCCTGACCTTTTCCCACGCTGGCTACCCTGCTCTAAGTGCCCCAAGCCCTGTTTGCTGCTGTGGGCACCCCCGAGTCCACGGCCTGGCTGTCGCTGCCGGTCTCCCCCTCCCCTCCCCGCCGGACCCACCTCTGGGGCCCTGCTTCCCGGAGCGCCCTCCTTGATAGCTCCGGACCGGGCTCTTTGCTCAGGGCCCTAGCTCCATTTTGCATTTCCTCCCCCAGCCTCCGAGGGATGGGATGTGCCCAGTGCCTGGAGACCTCTCACTGGTCTGGAAGACCTTGACGGCCACAGTACGCGGCTTTACCTTCCAGTTTAGGAAAGTCTGCTAACCCACCCTGGTGAAGTGAACAGGGGCGAATCCAGGAAATCTAGAACCAAATTAACCCCTTTTCACAAGCAGTCAATAGTTTGACCCAAATAATGCGGGTAATCCAGGCGTTCTGACGCCTGGCCCTTTGCTTCTAGGGAAGTGAATTTCTTGCTGGGTCTGGAATCACAGTTTCAGCTGGAAGGACCTTTTAATTTTACGATCCTCCTCATCCTTATTTTTATTGCACTCCAGAGCTTTTTGAAGGGTCATTGGGGTGTATTCTGCCAATGCTGGGACCTTTTCCTGCTCTTTTGCCTGCTTATCTGACTGCCTGGGAGAGGTGGAAGCCACGCTCTTGGGTCCGGGTCCAGGTCCAGGTCCGGGCCTAAGGCCTCCCTTCTCTCCCCCTCCTGCACACCCGTTCCTGGAATGCTGAGGCTTCTGTAGATTAGAGAGCCGGAGGTTCAGGCCCTGCTGCTTTCCCTGGGTGCTTTAAAGGTTGTGCCTGGGGGGCCCAGGCCTGAACCAGCTGGAGTAATTCCTGCCGCCATTCCTGCAGCCTCAGGCAGGCCCTCTGACTCACTGGCTAGAGCCTGAGTGAGAGTCTGCACAGGAGGGGGTCGAGCAGGAGCCTCGCTGAGCTCAGCGCTGTGCAGAGGGGCGGGGGCCAGTCTCTGGCTCAGCCTCAAAAGGGAGGATCAAAATGGCCTTAGATCTTGGGCCCAAATCTCTCGGTTTCTTTCTCCTATCCAGTGTGGGGTAAACAGGAACTGGAGCCTGCTGTGGGAGGGGCCTGCTGAGTGGAGGGCTGCAGGGTCACTTGCTAGAGTGACCTGCACAACCCCTCGGGTGGCCGGCAAGGGTTCTGAGGTCCTCTCTTACCCACCCGCCTGTCCTAGGTCTGTTCTCAGAGCTATGGGCCGCAGAGACTGAGCTGCCGCCATGATTGGAGGCTTATTCATCTATAATCACAAGGGGGAGGTGCTCATCTCCCGGGTCTACCGAGATGACATCGGGTGAGTGCCTTGGCTGAGCCAGCTGTGCCCCCACCGCCCCAGCATGCAGGACCAGATGTGTTCCCACCAGGGCTCGACCTGGGCCACCCATGCCCCTGCTGCATCCTGGAAGCTCAGCTAGTAGAGCCGGCTCCCATGAACTCTGGCGGGCTTGGCCGCCCAGCGGGACCGGGCTGGCATGGCGCCCATAGCCCTAGGAACTCCTGCCCTTCCTGCCTCCTGTGTCCCTCACAGCAGGCCTGGTTGCTGGGGGTGAGTGCTTCTGCCAGGCAGGGGAGAAGGGAGCTATGTCTCCGGTGGGTGGAGCCGGAGCCGGCCGAGAGGGGAGAGGAGAGGAGCTAGCGGAGCTAGCTGGAGGTGCTAATCCATCTAAGTCTGGCCCTCCAAAGCCTTCCTCCCACTGAGAGACTTCTCTGGATCCTCTTGAAAGCCTCTCCCAGCCGCGGAGACCTCTCCCACTGCCTTGCTCAGGAAGAGCCAGGCTGCTGACTCCACTGTTTTCAGTTCCTCTGGGCCATTCCTGGAGGAGAGGCCGTAGGCAAGCTTGAGGCACTCCGGGACACTGAGAAGGGCAGGACGGCCATGCTGCCCTTTCCGACCTTTCTCTGGGAGCAGACTCGGGCGCTCCGTGTCCGTGGTCCGTCCGACCTGGACAAGGAGCCGCAGCCTGCCTTCTCGTGCTGCCTGCTCTGCACACCACTGTCTTCCCTGCCGGTGGCCATCTTCCCCCCAGCTCTGATGAGATTAGGCGCCTCTGGTTCCTCTGCCCTGCTTTTCTTCAAAGAGCTTGAATTAAATAGTCAAGGGAGGGCTTGTAGCCCATTGCCTCTAGCTTCTGAGCGCTGTGATGGGCTGGCCTGGCCTTTGCGGCTGCTTGCCCATTGGCTGGAGGTGTGGCATCAGCTCGACGGGGGGCATGGCCCACCTGAACCAGGCTGGCTCCCCCCGCCTGCACCCCTCCTGCCTGGATGGACCTGGTGGGATCAAGGCAGGTCACATGCTGCCGCGCATGCCTGGCTGTGCGCTCCACCCCTGCCTGTCCTGTCCTGTCCCTGTCCCCTCATGGTGTGTGCAGCCCTCCCCAGTGTGTCGTGTCTAACCCTCTCTTTTGTTGCTGTCACTCTCCTCTTCTTGCTGGCGTCATTTCTCTCATCCCATCTCATTGGCTGCCGTAGCAATAGGTAAGGGGCCTCTGAAGCTGCCGCCTGGGTACAGGCGGGTGGGGGCCCTGCCCCTCATTGTTGTTCCCTTCATCTTTCTCATCCCCTGAACTTACCATGGAGTCGGAGCCCAGACGAGACTGGAAGTGAATCCATGGCCCCGGTACTCCCCCCAGTAGATTAGAGCCTTCTCTGAAGTCACGCTGGCTTTGTCTAACCTCCAGAGGAGCCGTCCTTCCCTGCTGCTGGAACCCCTAGAGGGAGGGCCAGAGGAGAAGCAGGGGCTCTCTCAGCCTGGACTTAGCAGGAAGTAAAGAGACGCAGCTGGCATACAGCTGGGAAACAGAGGCCAGGCCCGGGAGGCCCGCACGCCTCTGAGGCTGATGAGCCTCACTTTATCAGGGTTATGTCTGCCCTGCCGTGGTTGCCCCTTGACTTCCCTATTTCTCATGGCTTTCAGACACCAGCCCAGCTTGGGCCTCCTCCCATGCCCCCACTGGGAGTCCCAAGAATGGGACTACTCTACTGGTTTCGGCTTTGGCTTCAGAACACGTGTCAGACTTGAGTCGTGAGGAGGGTGGGGCCGTCGCAGCTGTGGCTCATCCCTGCAGGCAGGGTTGCTGGGGTGCTGAGCAGCCCTGTTGTACCTTTTGCCTGCAGGAGGAATGCAGTGGACGCCTTTCGGGTCAATGTTATCCATGCCCGGCAGCAGGTGCGCAGCCCTGTCACCAACATCGCTCGCACCAGCTTCTTCCATGTTAAGCGGTCCAACATCTGGCTGGCCGCTGTCACCAAACAGAATGTCAACGCTGCCATGGTCTTCGAATTCCTCTATAAGATGTGCGACGTAATGGCTGCCTACTTCGGCAAGATCAGTGAGGAAAACATCAAGAACAATTTTGTGCTCATATATGAGCTGCTGGATGGTGAGGCTGGTGGGGCGGTGCACTATGGTGGACTGAACCTCATGGGCCTGGTGGTGGGAGTGGGCCTGAGGCTCAGTGCACTCCGAACTTTCTTCCCTGAGAACCTGGGCTCCTGGGCTCGGGTCTATGCCCGAGAAAGCCAGTTCAAATGTGGACTGGAAAGCCACTCTGGAGTGGAACACAAATGGGAACGAGCCAGCAGCTGAGGGGGCGGGGGGAGTAGTGGTCTTCCCGTGGATGGGGAGCCTTACTCTAGGGTTTAGCATTGGGCCTTCTGTCTTCTTACCTTGGGGTTAATTTTTTTTTAACTTATTTATTTATTTATTTTAATTTGACCAGAGAGGGACAGAGCGAGAAAGAGAGAGGGAGGGAAAGTGAGAAAGCAAGCTGCCAGGTCTGGGATTCGAATCACAGTTGGCCATGTGGGAGTCCAGGGCCCTTAACCACCATGCCAGCAGTAGTTAATCTTAATTCACCTGCGGTCCTCCCAGCTGCCTCAAGAGTCGTTTCAGACGGAGGGCAGGGTGAGCTCTGACAGCTCCCGGGCTGCCCGTCATCTTCACTCCTCTCGTGTGGGATTGCAACTTCCACCTTCCCGACATCTGTTTGCTAGTGAAAGCAAAGGGCTCAGGGTTTCTTGGCCTTTCACCCACCGACCTTGTGATTTCCTCTGCTGAAAAAAGTCAAAACATTTTTATTGTTTTTTTTTAATTATTTACTTTTATTTATTCATCCCTTTATTTTTATCTAACCAGAGAGGGACCTAGATAGAGAGAGGGAAAGTGGGAAAGCAAGCCACCAGGTCTGAGACTCGAACTGTGATCGGCTCATGGGAGTGTCCAGCACCTTAACCATCATGCCACCTGTAGGTCCCCAACATTTTCATTGCTTTTAGTGCTTCATAATTAGAGTAAACATAACAAAGCTGGAAAACTGCTGCAGATGATTCCACGTGGTCTTTGGAAGCCAGGCTGGCCAGACACGTCCTGGCCGGGGGCGAGGGGCTGGAATGATGGAGCCCCAGCTTCGTCCAGGCCTGATGGTTTGCTTCCTTTCACAGAGATCCTAGACTTCGGCTACCCACAGAACTCTGAGACAGGTGCGCTGAAAACCTTCATCACCCAGCAGGGCATCAAGAGCCAGGTACTCAAATCATGCAGACCATGATCAGGATGGAACACACCCTCCCTCCATCCCAGCTGAGTCATGAGGCGGCCTGTGACAGGAAGTGCTGGCCCAAGCCTCCTGCCAGCTGCAGGCCCTCCGCACCAGGAGCAGCCTGCTCAGCGTCTCTGTTGCCGGGAATAGGGAACGCAGTCAAGTGGTTTTCTGCTGCACTGGGGGAGGGGGTGTGAGCTGCTGCGGTCTTCCCCAGGAGGAGAGTGCTTGGGCCCTCCTCTGTGACCCACGCCTCATAGCTTTTTCCTTTTCTGCCTCCCCTGCTGCTTCCTGTGGACTCCTACCCTGTTGGCCCTGTGGCCTCCAGCATCAGGTAAGCTGTCTCCTCCACCTCTACCCTTGTAGTTTTGCCCCATTTTGTCCAGGCCCCACCTGTGGGGGAAGAGGGGTCAGAGGGAGTAGAGACAGACAGGATAAATGCAAGGAAAGCGGAGTGCGGCTATTGCTGTCTGTCTCTGCCCCATGCAGACAAAAGAAGAGCAGTCCCAGATCACCAGCCAGGTGACCGGGCAGATCGGCTGGCGACGGGAGGGCATCAAGTATCGTCGAAACGAGCTCTTCTTGGATGTGCTGGAGAGTGTAAACCTGCTCATGTCCCCGCAGGGTGAGGGCCTCCTCGTGGGGAAGCTGGAGCAGGTTCAGGGCAGGATCTCGGACCCGCCTGCATGCCTCAGCTGCTCTGTCTCTCTATCCTATCCCCAGGGCAAGTGCTGAGCGCCCACGTGTCAGGCCGGGTGGTGATGAAGAGCTACCTGAGTGGCATGCCTGAGTGCAAGTTCGGGATGAATGACAAGATCGTCATTGAGAAGCAGGGCAAAGGCACAGCCGATGAGACAAGCAAGAGGTGCCTGAGTCAGGGAAGCCCACGGGAAAGGGCTGGCCTTGGGGGTTTCAGTGGGGCCTGATGAACCACAAATTCCTTCCAGACTTCAGTCCTGATAACAAAAAAAAAACTGCAGACTCTTCTCAAGGGTGTGCTTGGCTGCTTGCTCTCGGCATCAGTGCCGAGAGGAGGGGAATGCCCTTGGCATACAGCCCTCTGAAGGCGAGCTCTGGTTTGGTCCAAGGACCCAGGCCTCGTCTGTACCTGGGACGGCCTCTGCTGTGTGCATGAAACACCTGTGTCCCAAGTAGCAGGGCCCTCAAGCTGATGGGCTTACAGAGCTGCCACTCATCCCGAACGCTGAGGCAGGGACCCCTAATCAGAAAGCTGCATTCTGGCAGTGTTCCCTGGTGTGTGGTCCCAGCCTAGGGTGGGCTGGTCTCTGCCTGATACCTGCCACTCCTGTCCCAACGAGACACCTCCTCTGCCTCTAGCGGGAAGCAATCAATCGCCATTGATGACTGCACCTTCCACCAGTGTGTGCGGCTGAGCAAGTTTGACTCTGAACGCAGCATCAGCTTCATCCCGCCAGATGGGGAGTTTGAGCTCATGAGGTGCCACTGGGGTGTGAGGAGGGGTGCTGTTGGCAGAGAGGAGGGAGCAGGAGTGGGACAGGCTCTGCAGTGCCAACCTTGCGCCCTGTCCCCAAAGGTATCGCACCACCAAGGACATCATCCTTCCCTTCCGGGTGATTCCACTAGTGCGCGAGGTGGGGCGTACCAAACTGGAGGTCAAGGTGGTCATCAAGTCCAACTTCAAGCCCTCACTGCTGGCCCAGAAGATTGAGGTGAGGACAGGGCACTGGGGAGGAGGAAGAGCTGGTCTCCAGGCACAAAGTCACCTGATACTAGGGTGGGACAGTGCCCTGACGGGTGTGTCACTTCCAGGTGAGGATTCCGACCCCACTGAACACGAGCGGGGTCCAGGTGATCTGCATGAAGGGGAAGGCCAAGTACAAGGCCAGCGAGAACGCCATCGTGTGGAAGTGAGTATCTCCGAGAGGCCGCTGCAGGCTCAGGTGCCATGGCGCACCCACTCTTCCCTGCAAGGAGCAGCAGTGCACCTGTGCTTCTGCAGGAGCCTTTGCTAATGCGTCGGCCCTCGCACATCACACGTGTGCCTGCGCCGGGGTTCGTGCAGATGTTTTATTTTAAGTTTTTCTTAGAAAGATTTCTGCTGTAGGGCATGTACACTCGCCAGAGAGACAAGAGAAACAGAAAGTGGAAAATAACCGCCCGGGGCAGGGGGTGGCCACACCCCAGTCCCTTCTTCATTCTCCTCTTGGGATCTTGGGCACACACACACACACAGCCAGCATGAGTTTTTTAAGTCACCAGATCTGGGACTTGAACTGCAGTCAACTATGTGGGAGTCCAGCAACATAACCATGACGCTATCTGCTGATCCTATGTTTATTTTTCTCTTTTTTCTATTGGGAGAGGTTTTTGCGATAGGGTGAATGTGCTTGCCAGAAAGAGAGACAGAGAGACAAAAAGTGAGAAATCACCCCCCCCCCGAGGGGAGATGGCCACGCCACAACCCCTTTTCCTCCATTCTCCTCGGGATCTTGGGCACACACGCACACACACACACACACCCACACACCTGGCATGAGTTTAAACCACCAGCTTGGGAACTTGAACCGTGGTCAACTACATGGGAGTTCAGTGACATAGCCATTACGCCAACTACTGGTCCCAGAGTGTTTATTTTTCAAGATGCTTTAGTGTTTCCCTGCTGGTGAAGTAGAGGCGTTACAGGGGTAACATGCCCACGGATCTAAGTAGACACTACAGTCCCCAGTGCTGGAGTAACAGGCCCAAGCTTCATAGCACGTGATTATCAAGGTCCTGACTTTTCTGTCCTTGTGCTTCATGCCTTCTGGGTTCTCTTCTCTCCTCATTTGAAACAGGCAGCCCTCCACCCTAGAAGCTCTTCCAACCCACCAGGTGCACTTGCTACCCACTGTCTCTTTGTTCCCAGGATCAAGCGCATGGCAGGCATGAAGGAATCGCAGATCAGTGCAGAGATTGAGCTGCTGCCCACCAACGACAAGAAGAAATGGGCTCGACCCCCTATCTCTATGAACTTTGAGGTACGACAGAGGAGTGGCCTGGTGGCATGGCAGGGTGTGCTGGGAAAGAGCTTAGAGGTCATTCAGGTCAACCTCTGACCTTAGAGAAGAGGAAGCTCGGCTTAGAAAGGGAAAGCAACTGATTCATAGACCCATTGCCTCCCTCCAAGAGCCCCTTAGTGGAGACTGCTATCCACAGGGTAAAAAAATCTTGTACTTCCGTTGGTTCATTGTGAAACAGTTGTTTTAAAAAATTAAGGTTCTTTGACTGCCAGAGTAGACACAAAGTTTTCTTCTAGACATTTCTAAAGTCCTAGTGTTGAACAGCATAAGCATGCCATTTCGCAGTTCTTCCGGGTGCTGCTTCCTGCTGGTTAGAGGGGTTGATTCAGGTTGTGATGGGAGGGCCTGATGTCACATCCAAGATGGCCAGCTCTCTTGGCCGTGCTTCTTTAGTAACCTCAGAGGGCTCCTCACACCCCAGCTTCCCCACGTCTTTCAGGCCTCCAGCCGCTCAACTGTTGAGTAGCCATGAGGTCGGGTAGGGTTACAGGACTCACCACAGGAGAGTGGCCACATTCCTAACTGGAGTTTTCCCTTGCCCAGGTGCCATTTGCGCCCTCAGGTCTCAAGGTGCGCTACTTGAAGGTGTTCGAACCGAAGCTGAACTACAGCGACCATGATGTCATCAAATGGGTGCGCTACATCGGCCGCAGCGGCATTTATGAAACCCGCTGCTAGCCGCCTGGTGGCAGCCAGCCCACCTCCTCACCCACCCTCTCCCACAGGGCCGGGTGCCCTCCACCCTGGCCACCACCATCAGCGTCTCCTCCTTCCTCCTGCTTTGCTGCCCTCCCTTTGCACCAGCCCCTGAGTCTAGGTCTGGACCAAGCACGTCGCAAGTGGGACTGGTGTAGTCCCTGGGCTCCCTGGGCAGGGTGGTTTCTGGGGCTCCTGCTTTTCTATCCATCTGTCTGGCCTGGCCTCATGCCAGGCTCTGAGTTATGACCAAAGCCAGGTGGGCTTTCTCTCCTCCCCACCCCTGTGGCCACACCTCTGGAGTGGGAGGGTTGGCTGCCCCTCACCTCGGAGCTCTCCCCAAAGGCCAGTAACGGATCCCCAGCCCTCAATCCTTGCTCTGCTTTGGGATCGTGTGAGCTTCGTTTTGTACACGTGTGACTTTGTCCAGTTCTAAACCCAATAAACTGTAGAGCGGAGTTGGCTGAGCATTGATGTGGGAACTGCAGGGGGACAACCAGTGGGACTGCTCCTCCCTAGGACACGCCTTCTTTCAGTACAAGTGTCTACTCTCAGTACTCTCAAGCCCCTTTCCTTGTCTTGTCCCAATTGTTGGCCCCTCCTGGTCCATCCAAACCCTCACCCTGGTAGGTCATGGCCCTGGTCTTCTGGTTCCTCCAAGAAGAAACAGCCTCAAGGGCAAGTTGCCCTTGCTGGCTACAACTCCCTGAGTGTAGATTCTTTCCCCAATTCACATTTAGGCACGTATTTTCTAAAGAGCGTAATTTAAATAAAGTTCATTATCTTTTTTTTTTTTTTTAAGAATTATTTTGTTGAACTTTATTTTTTAATTTTAATTTGACCAGAGAGGAACAGAGTGAGAGAGGGAGGGAAAGTGAGAATGCAAGCTGCCGGGTCCAAGGACTTGAACCATGGTTGGCCATGTGGGAGTCCAATATCCTTAACCATCACGTCACCTGCCAGCCTCAAAGTTATTATCTTGCAGCCATCCTAAGATACTGACCTATGAGGAAAGGATTTGATTTTCTCCCAGGCCTCTTTAAAAACTCCTCCCCTCCAGAGCTGTATGGTCAGATAGTCTTTAAGGAGAAAGTCTCATATCCTGCCACTGTTGGGACAGATAAAAGAGCAGTTTTTACGTTCTTAGTTTCAGCTTTTTTTTTTTTTAACTTTATTCTTTCATTCATTCTCTTTTCTTTTTTTGGAGAGGTTTTTGCTACAAGGCGTGTGCGCTTACCAGAAAGACAGACAGAAAGCGAGAAATCACCCCCCAGAGGGGATGGCCATGCCACAATCCCTTCTCCTCCATTCTCCTCTCAGGATCTTGGGCACACACGCACACACGCCCGGCATGTTTTAAGCCACTGGGTCCGCGAAACGCGGCTGACTACGTGGGAGTCCAGCGACATAGCCATTATGCTAACTGCTGGTCCCCCATTCATTCATTTTTAATTTGACCAGAGAGAGACAGAGAAAGAGAGGTGAGAAAGCAAGTCACCAGGTCTGGGATTCAGACTGTGGTTGGCCATGTGGGAGTGAGTGTCCAGCACCTTAACCACCATGCCACCTGCTGGTCCCCAGTTTCAGCTTTTTTTAAACTTAAAAAAATCTATTAAAGGGGCCAGCCAGGTGGTATAATGGTTAAGGTAACTGTATCCCATATGGCCAACTGTGGTAGAGTCCCCGACCTGCAGCTTGAAAAACACTGCCCGCACCCCAGATCTCGAGAGTGAAGGAATTGGTGTGGGTGATTTCTCGCTTCCTCTCTCCATCTCCCTCCAGCAAGTGTATGCATCCTATAGCAAATTTTACATATAGACGAATATATATTAGAGAACATTGCAAACATACAAAGAATTAGAATATCATAAACCTCTCTGTTCTGTAACTCAGCCTCAGTGATGATTCTCATCGCCAATTCCTGAATATCACATCTGATCTGTACTTAATCCGAGTGTCCTGTAACATTTTCGCAACTTGCATCTGGATCCACAGAGGGGCCGTTGTGGTTGGATAGCTCATCTTAAGTTACCTGTTTCCCCTCTGCGCTTCCAGTTCTGTTGAGGAAACCTGAGTTCTGCAGCTTACTCCTCAGAAGCTGCCTGCTGTATCCCAGTGAGGTCGCTTACCATAGACCTCTACCTCTGCTTCCTGTAAACAGTTACCACGTCTGGAGGCTCGCAGCGGCACTGTGGGGAAAATCCCCCATTTCTAGCTGAGGAAATCCGTGGAAGGAAATTTGCCATTTGCCGAGATCCAGGGTGCAGATTAGTCTGCTTGGGGCCCAGGTCGAGAAGGAA